CACCAATTGGCCAGAGATCCCCTCGTAGTTGATAAGTACGTTTTACATACTTATTTTACTGTCAAAACATGAGCAATTGTTGATTAATATGTTGGAATATAACTTAATTCTATGCAATTCATGTTTTGCAGGACAAGTGATGAATATAGCGGAAATAAGGAGAAACGAGTGAAAAATGACCAGAATGGAAGAAAGTGAAAGTTCAGGGACTAAAGTGAAAATACTCAAAAATTATGTCGGGACTCAGATGAAGGTTCGAGAATGCTAAGGGTCGATTGGAAGCAATTAGAAGTTAAAAAGGAATAGAATATTATCAAAATTAATTTCCAATTCGCACAAGATATATTTCAGACTTTTAGCCAAAAATTGTGATGCATTTTTGGCATAGTAAAAGTTTGAATTGGAAAAGAGCTATTTCTAACAAAGTTGTATCTTTTTGAGTTATCTTTCTAACGTATCTTGAATCATTTAAATCGGATATCAGACGAGAAAGTTATAACTAAATTATTGAATACTATGCAGAGACAAAAAATGCGTTCGAAAGCAACTTTCCTTATTCGATTAGAACTCTTTTGGAAACCAATTTGGACGTGATTTTTATCTAATTTCCGACTCTTACAAATACTTAACAGAAAAATTCATATGGAGAGGGCCCCCATACACCATTCCTGTCCTCTTTGGCTCAAGAAACTCATGGAGAACTAAACCCTTGGTAAAGCTACGAAGGAACTCGATTGGAATTGGTGATTTCATGTTTTTTATTCATTTAATTTGATCTTTTCATTGTCAAACAATGCTAGAATTTAGATTTTCATTCTCTTGAATTCATATTGAAATCAATTTAATATTTACAATATTTTTCATGGATTTAGTCATACTTTTTCCATTATTCAATCAAACTATTTATTGAGTCTCAATTTCAATTATTTATTGTTGAAATTGGTTTAACAATTATTATATCTTTCATAGATTCAGTCATGCTTCTTCTATCGTTTGATTAAGCTAATTGTTGAATTTTACTCTCAATTTCACTTTATTGGCGGATTGATTATTGCATTATGCTTGATGTATATGGTCGATCTTTGATTTTGTTCCAATAAAATTGTGCGAATATGTCTTAAATCTAAATTCTAGGATTACATTTGTAAATTAAATTGATTTTCACGACATATCTTCCGATTAGAGCGTCGGGATGAAAGTCTCTAATTGTGTTATAAAAATGAATAATTGATATGATTGATCCAATCCAATTGAGGGAATTCCGACGCTTCACCGCTTTGAATTATTGATTTTAATTTCACGTTTCAACATTGAATTTTATTACACATTTGAGAGAACAATTCAGCATTTTTGATCATTTAAATATTCTTCCATCTCCCTGTGGATACGACACCCCAAAGCTGTGCTACAACTACCGTGTTATTCTTTGGGCGTAATCAGTAGTGCTCCAAATAGTCGATGACCATTCTGATAGACTTCTTTTGTCCATTGGTAAATATAATCATGTCATCAGCAAAAGCAAGATGAGAGACACTAATACTACCTCCATGTCGATACTGCATACTAGGATATGTCTGAAACCTCTGAGTAAGCAATTGAGAAAAGTAATCCGGCAATAATAAATAAGGATGGGGAGATAGGATCTCCCTGTCTGAGACCCCGCGAAGAAGAAAAGAAACCACATGGTCGCCCATTCAGAAGCACCGAGAATCGACATTCCGATATACATCGTTTGATCCGATCAATCCACAACTGGTCAAAACCAAACGCCTCTAGTATAGAATAAATGAATCCCCAATCTATACGATCATATGCTTTAGCCATATCAAGCTTCAACATAACATGTCCTCTACGCATTTTATTATCTAATGTGTGTACAAGCTCCTGTGTCAACAAAACATTGTCCCAATAAGTCGACCGAGGACAAATCCACTCTGTTGAGGGGAAATAATATAAGGTAGAAATGAACTCAATCTGTTGTTCAACAGCTTTGTAATAAGCTTATTAAACACCGTGCACAAGCTGATAGGTCGGTAATCCGTCAATCTATAAGCATTTTCCTTCTTCGGAAGCAAAACAATAGACGTAGCAGCAAATCCCCTCGGCAAATAACCACTCTCAAAGAAATCAATGACTGCACCGTACAAATCATCTTGTATAATATCCCAACAGTGTTGGTAGAACAATGATGAAAATCCATCAGTGCCCGCAGCACTATCAGCATCAATACTAAAAACAGCCTTCCGCACCTCATCAATCAAAGGGAGGCGGTTCAGCGCCATATTGTCTGCCCCCGTCAGTATCCTAGGTATAATATCAGGATGAATATACTCCATAGGTTGTGAGGAGCGGATAATAATTCCTGGAAAAAAGATATAGACGAGCTCTAAATATCTACAGGAGTAGTAAGAACTTTCCCTACTTAAGTTGTGATGGTCCTGATACGAGATCTGATCCGTCGTCCCTGTACCAGCGAATGAAAATATCTGGTATTGCGATCTCCCTCACATACCCAACGAGAGCCTTCAAAAAACCCTCCTCAATAGCTAAGGTCCGATTTAAATTAGCCAGTGCATGATGGAGTAAGTCACGATGCTTTGGTGTAGGATCTACCTCAAAATCAATCTCTGTCTGGTCAACCCTCTCCTCAGTGTCTCTCACTCTTTGGAACACAACACCAAATACCCGTCGATTCCACAGGATGCTCGAGAGGCCGCATGGACATGTCAATACCCGAGAGGACTGATTACTGTTTCCTATAATTACTCCTGTACACATTTTGTAATTGATCTAATGAGTACATGTGCTCATCTATTTTAAGCACCAAAGACATATCAATAAATTTATTGGTGGATTTTAATCTTAATCAGATGCTGAGGTCCACCATAAATTTATCCACCAATAAATTTATATAACACGTAATCAGTGCTTGATTTAATGAGTGCTTATCTTATGTTAATAATGTTCGGTCAAAACACTCCATTCATTCTCTGCGTCGCCTTTTGGATAACATCAAAATCTTCAACGACTTTTTAACAAGAGGTTTTTTTTCTCTCTCTCTCATATAAACTCTAGTCTTAAACGGTCTACCACAAAAGATGTACCAAATGAACCCCATGATTAAGATTCAACTATCCATATTTAACCTAATCAATTGCCGTTAGCTATTTTGATTGTTCTTTTTTGTTCCTTATTTTCGTGATTGAAGAGGGAAACTTTTCTTCAGCCAAAATTATCAATAATATAACGAGTAAAAATTATAATATTAAAGTAATTTGAACAATACATGTAAAACAAAAATCTTTCATCCTAGATCATAATGTGAAAAAGGTTTGGCCATCCTGCTCAATTAGCTTGACTCGTGTTTGGTCCAACCCGTCTCAAGAAGTAAGACGGAACACGCTACTTAAAGCATGACATCGGATGCCCAACAAACCTTTTTACACGCTATTGCTTGATTGACTTTTGTTTGGCTCGACTTGTATGAAGAAACTTGTTATGTCATCCTCGATGTCAACTCAAACAAGTTCAAACCAAGAATTACTAGCCTTTTTAAGAAGCAGGATGTACCATGCTACTTAAAACATGACACCTGGTGCCCGATATAGCCTTTCTACACACTATTGCTTGATTCGTACGAAGAAACCGATCGACCAAACCGCTTAAAACATGGGTGCCCAACACGACATTTTTACACAATAATTGTTGGAGGTGGCAATGAGCCGAGCCAAGCCGAGACACTCAAGCTCGGCTCATGTGTTATCATGTTCAAATTTTAAGATCGGCTCCGTCCTTTTACTCATGGACCTCACGAGCTCAAACGAGCCGACTCGTTGTTTTAAATAAATTTAAAAAATAAGTCCAAAAAATGAGCAATTTTTTAAGAAATTAATAAAACAAGTCCAAAAATGATCTAAACAAGTCGGCTCAACTCTAAAAAAAAGTTAGCTCGACATGACTCAAAGCCATCCATCTGTTGAGCCCCAATGAATTGAGCCAACGAGCCCATAAGCGACTCGACCATCTTGCCAACCCTCTGATTACTCAACTCTTGTGTCATCCTCCAAATCAACTTAGATAAGCTCGAACCAAGAACTACATGCCATCTTTTCCTTGGGATCCTTTCAAATAGATATAGAGAACAAAGTAACTAGAAATACGTAAGGACGATTAAGACTCCACACTTCAACAAGTCTACCTCTTATCAAATACGACTATAAAAAATGATATCTACTAACTTGTCATGTCCCCGCCTGACTTCTAATTTTATCCTCAATTTCATCGTCATTGATGAGATCATGAAAATATAAAATACCCCAGAAATCTGCTAAATATTTTGTCTTTCCATCTTTCCCCTCTTCCTTACGCCATCTCCAACTCTACATCAAAATTTGAGATAAATTTTATACCATTTTACATTAAATTGTACATCAAATCAAAAATCATCTCCAATCTATTACACCAAATGAAACAATGTATAATTTTTTTTTTTCAATCTTAATAATATATTTATATGAAAACTTATTTGTTTAGTTAATTTACTACTACAAAAATTATTAAATAAATAATTACATTTCGTTAACGAAAATATCGAATTCAATAATAATTTTAATGAATGGTACAATTAATAGAAAAACCACAACTAAGAAAATAATAATAATAATTAATTAAGAATTAAAATTTATTGTACAACAAGAAAGTTACACAAATAACCTTAACAAAAGTTGGTGTAAAATGGAAAAGAAGGGCAAAGACGACAAATGGTGCAACCCTAATCATTTGCAAAAATTTGGTGTTGGGTTGGATTGGATTGAGATTACACCGAATATTTGGTGCAAAATGGGACAAAAAGGAAATTCCGTGTAAGGGTTGGAGTTGTCCTTAGACTTCGCATTCTTATCAGCCCAACATTATCAAACATCAAAATCTATAGTAGATAATAGCAACTTTAGTATCACTCTTATGACTGTTTCGTTTTCCCAATCTGTCTACTTGAAGCCATGATCAGTCTTTTCTCAATCTGTCTGTTCTTCATTCTATTAATTGCAGTAAGATTTCTCTACAGTTTATGGTGGATTCCGTTTCGTGTGAAAAATATATTGCAATCGCAGGGACTTAAAGGCCCTGCTTACAAATTCATCTATGGAAACACCAAGGATATTATCGAGATGAAGAAACAAGCCAGAAGCAGTCCCATGGATTTGTCATCGCACGACATATTTCCCAGAATCCAGCCTCACATGTACACATGGACGAAATTATATGGTAACATCTTCTACTTACTCTCTTCATATTGATTCGTACATCTATTGCACTGTGCTGAGCCTGCAATTATCCCCTCGACTATAGATCACTCTAATATTCTGATTATACAAAGAATTTCATAGGGGCCGGTTTTATAGTGAAAACTGGATGTAGATAGGGAAAACAACCTTAAATTTGTGTCTTTCCTTGTCTTGTTTTCTGATCTCATTCTTTTTATTATTGCTGTTATGTGAAAAGATTAAGCCTTAATTGCTGACAAAACCTTCATCAATTGCTCATTTAAGTCGTTTATTGGATCAGGTCAAAATTTTATTATATGGGATGGTGCTAGACCTCAAATTGTTGTTTCTGAACCTGAGCTGGTTAAAGAAATCCTGATCAATAAAGAAGGTAAATATGGAAAAGTTAAACTCAGAGGTTATTTGAAGAAGTTGTTAGGAGAAGGAATAGTTGTAGCAGAAGGTGAAAAATGGTCAAAGATGCGGAAATTGGCCAACCATGCTTTCCATGGAGAGAGTTTAAAGGTATAGAATATTGGTAAATTAATGTTCTCATCCATAGTAGTGTTAAGTACTCGTGCCAAATGTAGCCTTGAATCTAAATTGTTAATCAAGCATATTTGACTACACCATAACTAGAATTTTCACATACCTCGATATCGATTTCTCAGGATATGGTTCCATCGATGATCGCAAGTGCGGACGCTATGTTGGAGACATGGAGAAAATTTGAAGGCAAAGAGATTGATGTGTGCGAGCAATTTAGGTTTCTGACCTCAGATGTGATATCCAGGACAGCTTTTGGTAGCAGTTACTTGGAAGGGAGAAAAGTATTTGAGACGCTAACAAAACTGTGTTATATAATTTCCAGAAATGCTCATAAGATTCGATATTTTGGCATCGAGTATGCTTCTGCTCTCTATTTTCTTTTATTATACGAGTGTATTTTCGTTCAATTCTAGTGTAAATTTCATCAATTATATAGCCATAAGAATAGTATTGTTCACTGAACTTTTATTTTCCATATTAAGCTTTACCCCTTTAGTGACCATAATAGACAAGATTTGATAGTATTTTGAACGTGATTTTAGTTTCATTTTCTTTTTTTTTAATTACACTTCAGTATTATCCGGTCAATCTAACTTGCCGTAATGTATTTTGTTAATTTGCTCTGAAATATTGTAGAAAACTCATTCGATGGCAGAATGACGTTGAAGCAAACGAAACTGAGCAATTGCTCCACGATTCGATCATGGCAATAGTGAAGATGAGAGAAGACGAAGTAAAGACAGGTCGAGCAGATAGCTTTGGAACTGATTTCCTTGGATCACTCCTAAAAGTTCATCATGACATGGATAAGAAAAACAGAATATCAGTAGTTGATCTTATTGATGAATGCAAGACATTTTATTTTGCTGGACAAGAAACAACTTATAGTTTACTATGCTGGAGTATTCTTCTTCTTGCGATTCACACAGATTGGCAAGAGAGAGCAAGAAAAGAGGTGCTTGAACTATTTGGACAAGAAAATCCAAACTCAGAGGGCATTGCTAGACTGAAAACTGTAAGAAAATTAAGATAAAAGTCCTGTCATTGATACACACATGAAACTAACATCTGATTGTTACATTTTTTTGTAGGTGACCATGATTATTTATGAAACACTAAGGCTATATAGCCCCGTTGTCGCTATTTCACGACACATAAATGGGAATGTCCGATTGGGGAAATACGAACTTCCGGATAATATAGATTTGATTATTCTGCCTCTGGCACTCCATCGTAATTTTGAAATATGGGGAGAAGATGCTCACCTTTTCAGACCGGAGAGATTTGCAGAAGGATCGGCTAAAGTTGGAAATAATAACTCCATGGCATACCTACCATTTGGTTATGGACCTCGAGCATGTGTGGGCTTAAACTTTGCAGCTAATGAAGCTAAGATTACACTCTCGATGATCCTTCAACGTTATAAGTTCTCATTATCTCCAAACTACGTTCATGTACCTTTTCAGGTACTCACGGCTCAGCCTGAAAAAGGTGTTCAGGTCTTGCTCCATTCATTGTGAATTTGTCCGATTAACTGTTGATAGTGAGCACCATCTCGAACAGGTACCAATATTCAGCTACGAGCATTTGGAAATTTTATCAGTTCATGGCTTAGATTTCGAAAGATTCCTGTGTATGAACTACTGGATATTTAATCAGTGTCAACAGGATATTCATATACTTGAAATGGATATTTTTAAAGAATGACTGCATGCTTTCAATCAATAATTCCCCTGTGAATACAATTATTCATTGATTTTCTGCACTGCAACCGCAAATTAGAGTGAGAATACAAAACATATTTTCATGATTCCTATTTCGGCTTCAAGAACCTTCTTAGTTTGCTTCTCTTGAGCTTGATAATTGTTCTACCATCACTATCTAATCTCCTTTGCCTTCACAGTTCTTTGCCTTCAATCTCCCGTCTAGGCTTCTAATAATGGCCTACCTTCGGTTCCATGCCTTTGGCCTTTCTGGATCCCAACCTTTTGCCTCCTCACCTTAGGCTTTTTGGCACACTGCTTGTGGCTCCGTGCTTGACCGATCACTCTGTGGAATGTGGGTGCGTGTGACTGTACATTTGTTGCCTTTACAGCTTTGGCCATTGTGTTGTTGGGACTTGATCATCATATTTGAAAAAGTGAGATGTAGTTCATGGCACCGATCATTACCCAATGCCCCTAGCATTAGTTCCTCGACTAGATGAACTTCTGTAGTGTCCTTGACACACATCGCATTCGGATCTTCACCATATGCCCGTGGTATTAGTTCATCGATTGCAGTGACTCATTCTTCAGTGCCCACTGACACATATTGAAGGAAAATCTCACATTCATACCAACAGTTTCCATTCAAACTCGTACAAATATCCCTCCATGCCTTTTTCACTAGTCATAGATGACTTTAGCCTAAAGAGTAGGGGCCTCAACATCCACTCCTTGCAGCCCCAACTTTTCGGACAAAAATAATTTAATTAATATGATAGTAACTCACGAAGGACCTCCATCAATTCTTACACAAAATGTAAAAAACAAAAACCTTCCAAACGGAACTCGACTATTATGTTTTATCTCTTTGTGAAAATAATGATAAACAAAAAGACTAATAATGAAAGAAATAACGAGCAAGATCAAAGCCACAAGATTTACGTGGTTCATCGATATATCTAAGTCCACATGACAACTCCGAATCAATTTTCCAATATTATGAAGGAATATACTGAAGTATCGATCTCACTCGAGTCGAGTCTTTCAAAATAGTGATAAGGCGATGACAAGACTAGGGTCAGCACGTGTCCCTTCCTGGTTTGATCATTGAATGTTCTTCTGTAGTTTAAAAACATGTGACTTCCTGGAATCAGCAAAGAAGGAAGCAATAATGCAACCAAAAATCAGAGTCCACCATAAAGTTTGACTTTTGTGGTGCATCGTGTGGTACAGGTTATATCAACTGCCAACTCCTTGTTAAGCATACTCCCCTGATTCTTGTTTACAAAATTGATTACAGAACAGGATTTATTCTCGTTATATTAAGCCATGATCCTTCTCACAGCCTGTCTGTGCGTAATCCTTTTTATTTGTTTAAGCTTTCTGTACAAGTTATGGTGGATTCCAGTTCATTTTCAACACAAAATGCGATCACAGGGGCTCAAAGGCCCCTCTTACAGGTTCTTACATGGAAACACCAAAGAGATTACGAACATGACGAAGGAAGCCACCAGTGTTCCCATGGAATTGTCGCACGATTTATTTCCTAGAATTCAACCTCACCTCTATTCATGGATGAAGTTATATGGTAATTAACAATCTTTACTACTGAACATATGCTAATCATCTCTCTAATATCCAAGATTTTCTTTTTATTTAATTTCTTTAGATTATTTTCATATACAATTATTCACAAGGGTCGTTATTTATTTATTTTTCCTGCAATTACAAATATTAGTAATCTGTTGGAACAGGAAATAATTTTCTTTTTTGGATGGGTCACAAACCTCAAATCATTGTTAGTGAACCCGAGCTGGTTAAGGAAATATTAGGCAACAAAGATGGCACTTTTGGGAAGACGAAAGTCACGGGTTATTTAAAAAAATTGATAGGAGACGGGCTTGTTGCAGCAGAAGGCCAGAAGTGGTCGAAGCAACGGAAACTGGCCGACCATGCTTTTCATGGAGAGAGTTTGAAGGTAGAATTTTGTGGTATTCTGTCATGGTGAACTGAAATTCTACTGTCTATTCCCACAAAATAATGAGTAGTAAAAATGTGGTGGTTGTGATCGAGCTTATTCAGGCATACTACCAGTATAATTTTAACCTTTATGGACATCTTCTTTATCAGTGTATGGTTCCAGCAATGATTTCGAGCGTGCAAGCTATGCTGGAGAAATGGAGAAATTATGACAGGAAGCAGATTGAAGTATGGCCAGAAATTAAGATTCTGACCTCAGAAGTAATTTCTAGGACAGCTTTTGGAAGCAGTTACCAGGAAGGGAAGAACATTTTCGAACTGATGACCAAATTAAGTATCTTATGGGGACGAAATGCTAATAAAATTCAACTTCTCAGCAACAGGTATTCTCTTGCTTTCTCTGGTTGTTTATTATTAAGAAAGAGTATTTTTAACTTGATTTCTGTCATAGTCTACAACTTGAAAATGGGCCTATTATTGGACTTTGCAGAGCCCAATCATACTCTACACTTACACTCCACCTCGCATAGACGTAATATTTGTATGCTATATAGGATATCAGGGGAGCAATTTTTGTGCGAGAGTTGTGACAAAACCCTTGTATTCTTCTTCTCTATCACAGTGAAAACATGCATTGGTAGATGGTCATAATTCTCATATTTAATATGAACTATTATATAATTGTATTTGCTTTGCTTGTTTTCGATTTTTGTTATGCTTATTATGGATTAGGCCATAATCCTTAACACATACACTGTAGAAATATTTTCAGGTCACAAGATGACATTGAATCAGAAAAACTTGGGCAGTCACTTCGAGATTCTGTATTGTCAATAATAAAGAAAAGAGAAGACGAAGTGATGTCCGGACGAGCAAGCAACTTTGGAAATGATTTTCTAGGATCACTCCTAACAGTTCATCACGATGCTGATCGGACAAATAGAATCTCCGTAGATGATATGGTCGATGAATGTAAAACATTCTACATCGCTGGGCATGAAACAACCAGTACCTTACTATCGTGGATTATTCTTATGTTAGCAATTCACATTGATTGGCAAGAGAAAGCAAGAAAAGAGGTGCTTCAACTGTTTGGCCATGAAAATCCAACATCAGAAGGCATTGCCAGAATGAAAACTGTAAGAAAATCAGAATCAGAACTTGTTTTTGCTGATTTTTATACATCAATAATTGTACTTCCTTCTCCATGTTGGACTTGATGGAGCCTAGTTATACTCAATATTTCTCTGGTAATTGAGAGTAGGGCTTATTCCACAACATTCTGCTCTTGTTTCATATAGGTAAGCATGATCATCAATGAAACTGTAAGGCTGTACAGCCCGGTGCTCGATATGACAAGACAAGTAAAAAGCAAAGTCAGATTAGGGAAGTACGAATTTCCAGCAAACATCGAGCTGCATATCCCACCACTCGCACTCCACAGAAATCCTGAAATATGGGGAGAGGATGCTCACCTTTTTAAACCTGAGAGATTTGCAGAAGGGGTGGCTAAGGCAACAAAGAATAACTCCATGGCATTCCTCCCATTTGGCTACGGACCCCATACGTGTGTTGGCCTCAATTTTGCAACAAATGAAATGAAAATTGCTCTTTCAGTGATTCTTCAACAGCATAAGTTTACACTGTCACCGAATTATGTTCACTCACCCATTCACTTTCTCACAGTTCAACCTCAACATGGAATTCTGATCATGCTCCAGTCTTTGTGAAATACATCAGGCCATTTTTTTTTTTTTTTTCCGAAGCAGTAATTTGAACCTTTAGTCAGTAGAATTTAATCAACTAAGCACTTTATTTATGATAATATTTTGTGATGTAATCCAGAAATTTCACGATTATAAGCAGGATTCACACGAACAGAATGCTTGCAGCTATTGTGGATGTCTGGATTCAGGCAGTGGCTTTGGTTAATAGACATAATGTTGCCAATGAATGTATCAGTATCCTACACATATAAAAAGAGTGAGGAGGCTTGTCACTGTAGAAATTATGGTATGTCCAAAACGACACCGTTTTTGTGAATGGCAGAACGACGCCGTTTTGGTAATTGGATTTTTTCCTACACATATAAAAAGAGTGAGGCTTGTCACTGTAGAAATTATGGTATGTCCAAAACGACACCGTTTTTGTGAATGGCAGAACGACGCCATTTTGGTAATTGGATTTTTTTATACCTCCAATAATGCGACCTTGTTGTCTTAGGGTTTTTCTTCCGTCTTGTTTGTTTGAGATCTTTCCGTCTCTCTTCATTTCGAACTCTTCTCTGCCGTCCCTTCGTCGTCGTCGATCTGGTACATCCCACAAATCTGACTTTGGTTCCCTGGTCATCTAATTTTGGTCGTTGGTCTGCTCATCCTCGTCGATCTACCCGTGTTTTGTTTTTTTTTCTTTTGGTATTTTTTCC